GGTGAGCTTAACTTGATCGAGTAAACACGATTTTGAGTTCTTTTCTTTTCACTTCCACTTATTTTCTACCTTCTCAGATCACCTCTTCTAAACCCAATTGAATTCTCCCTAATTCACTTTGTTTGGATTCTGCTTGGTTTATTGATTTGAGGTGATGATGGAAACTATTATAAAGGTAATAGGGAATAGATGAAGATGGAGGCTCGTATTGGAGGGTTTATGTTGCTCTACTGGGAAATGATTAGAGTTTCTTCATTATGAAGAAACTCTTGATTGATAAATGAAATTAACAAAGTTTTTGTAGGTTTGTGCTTATGGTTGTTCTTGATTTTTCACTCTATCTACTCATATATTCATAGGATCAAATTAGGTTTAGCAAGTGTGTGAGGTGAGTGTATGAATTAGTTAGAATTGAAAGGGAAATTAAATTGAGTGATGAAAAGTGAGATGAGAAGTGATTTGTGTGATCCTTGCTGTGGTGAGAAATAAGGGTTTTTAAAAGTTATTTACAAAGATATTTTGATTATTGTAATAGGTATGATGATGTATCATGTGGTTTGTGAAAGATTGTAAAAGTTGTAAAAATATTAATGTAATTTGTTTTGTGTGAGGAAAACTTTTATGTCTATGATGTAATATGTTGATGTAATAAAATGAGGATATTTTGATCCTTTTTAACTTTCATCTTTTATGTCAATTCTTTAGACTTTTTATGTAACACCTCACCCCAGACTACTTTCAAGATTACCGACTGATCCCACAAACCAACACAAGTCTTTTAAGCATGTTTTGTTCTCACTCACACATTTTTTGGGAAACTTCCTAGAAGGTCACCTATCCCAATATTACTCCAAATCAAGCACGCTTAACTATGAAGTTCTTATTGGTTACGCTATCAAAAATAATATGCATCTCGTTGGTATATGTATCATCAATTAATCTTTATAAGTCTTCCTTCAACCATGCAGTCCTATACCTACACACCCTAATAATCCCTCTCATTCCGATGTGAATTTGATTTTTCCCTAGAATCTGCTAGGAGTGTCTCATCGTCATGCCTCATGCACTTCCAACCACTCTCACCCTCGGGTGTTACATGTAACCACTAACTGCCCTCTTCGGCCTCAGGTGTTACATTTTAACTATGTGGTGTATGTATGTGATGTGGATATCGAATAGGATATTTCTAGAACCTGTTTTTAGTGTAGAAGGTTGAATTTGTATTATCTTAATAAAGAAGAAAATATGTGTGAATGATGAATGATGTACATTCGTGGCATGATGACAATGTAAATATATTATTGTACAAAATTTAAATATTTAGTGATTTTTTTTAATTTGTCTTTAGTGCCAATCTAACTTTTGTACTAACTTGGGAAAGAAGAAATATGACATGAAATGTTAATGCGATGAGAAAGAATTAAAAATTCAAATGTCAATTAAATGGAAATTCCCAGACAAAATTAGGATACGACATTTTGGTTGTTGCATATGTTTGAATTTTGAATTCGAAAATAGGTAACACTTGTGAAAATAGGCAATGCTTGAAAAGTGTTGTTGTAGGCGAAACAATACAACTTTTAGTAAAAAATGTTGTTGAAATGGTGTTGTTTCATTAAGATTCGCAACATTGTAAAACGAAACTAACATGGACGGTAAATAGATCATTCTGGATTCATAAAACACAACACAAAAATGTATATCCTCTTCAATAAAATTCCAGATTCTCTTACCTACATTTGAGTTTTCACCCGTCTTGTGCAAAATTGAAAATAGGCTAAATTATCTTGGGTATTCCTGCATAGAAACTTTAAGACATTCGAGAGTGCTTGAAATATAATAAGAAAGAGATTCGTTTATGATTCCAACTTGAATCCATTAATCTAGAAGCTTAATCCAACACGTGTTTCAGAAGATCATTGCCTTAGTGCGCATCCCCCCACAATACACTTTTTTTTTATCTTATGATATTTAGATATTACAGTATTTTATTGTGAAGAAGATGGAGGAGTCTTTATCCCATATTTATTCTACTTTATAAGACTTCGTATATGCGCATGGTTTCTTTCAAATCAAGTAGTTTAGCATATCAAGCTTCATTTCTTAGTACATACTCCATCCATTCTCTTTTATAAGCAAATTTTGACTTTTATATTCATTGAATAATTGATGTATCTGATCTATATATAGTATAAATACATTATTTATTGAGTGAGTCTAAAAGTCAAATTTTACTTATAAAAGAGAATGGAGGGAACACCATTTAGTAATAGCATGAGCAACAAATGTTGTGCAACCCAAAAACTGAACAACTTTTTTCTTATTTTATTCAATATTTTGAAGGAATTTAATAAAAGATATTCTTATAAAATCTTTTGAAGTTGGTTTCATTGTCAAGTGCATTAGGTGCAAGAAGCCAGGTCACAACAAACTTACTTATAAGGTGACACCAACTAGTCAACCACAAGCCACTCAATGAGTATCTCAACAAGCATCCACTCAATAAGCTACTCAACAAACCACTCAACAAGCATATCAACAAGCATATACTTAACCAGATACCCAACAACGAACTACTAAAACATCTCAGTAATAAACTCATGGAAGGACAAAGAAGATAACTATTAAGGGGGCATCTCAACCAACTACTAAAACTTCTCAGCAATCAATTCATGGAAGGGAAAAAAAGCTACCATTTAGAAGGCCATCAACACCATGTGTACCACCAGGACCTACAACTAAATTGGGTTCAACTAAGACTGCATTTGAACCAACAACAAGAAGGACTACACCAACAAAGAGAACCACACTAAAGAAGAAAATTTAGTTTAACTTAAAATTTTATGTCATGTTGTCTGTTGAACTCAGTTTAAGTTATAAGTTAGCTTAAGTTAGAACATGTGTCCTTATGCAGTGTGCTTAGGATATGTAATGTGTTTTGAACCTATGCAGTATGTTTTCTACCTACCTTATAATGCAGAATATTAGTGGTATACATCACATATTATTAATGTGTTTTGATATAAATCAATTGTGCCTTATTTTATTTGTTTTGGTATAATGTGTTTTGGTTTAGATCAGACAATTACGTGGTTGCACATCATTGATCAACTGTGCCTTATCTTATGTCTCAACTTATGTAAACCAGAAAATTATGTGTCAATTGATAAACTGATGTAAACCAACACACATTAAATGCTACACAATTAATTGATACACATTAGTTAATAAGCAATTCATAAACTGATGTAAACCAGACACACATTAATTGATGTCAAATTGATAATATTAACAGATGATGTTCTTACATTAACTGATACAAGTTGAAAACATTAATTGATACAAGTTGGAAACATTAATTGATACAAACTTTATGCCATTCAAACTGATACAAACAAACTCAAACTAATTCAATCTCATACACTTATTACAACATCCCAAATACCAACACACATAAAACAATACTAAACATGCTCTTCCAAAAAGTTCCCCATTTCAAAACCTTCTTCATTTGAATTTGTAGTTCCCTCAAGTGTAGCTTCAGTCCCTGATTTGTAGCCCTAAGATTCTCTACCTCCATTTTGCTGCATGAAGTTCTTTGCTAGTTTCTCCAACCTACTCTTTTTCTTCTTTATAAATTGGTATTTCTTAACTACCACATCCTCATAGAACCAATAAAAAATCCACAACCAACTAGCGTAGAACCCTGTGTAAATGGAAAATGTTTCAAATTTGTTCTTACCTTAAAATGTCGACATCCCAAAAATTGTTTTTCAAAGTTCATAACAGTTGAGGCCTTGCGAAGAACATCCATGTCTCCACAACGACATATAGGTTTTCATCGGAGATTTGAGTATGTGTAAACATTGGAATCAAAACTTCCTGAGCTCTTTTAATTAGATTGATTTGAATAACGTCCAAAATTCATTGTTGATGGTTACTTCAATTTCCACGACCAATTTCAGTGTAAACCTCTGCCAAATGAGGAACCCTAAATCAATTTGAGTAAAAACATAATAGGAAAGGGAGGAAGACGAAGAAACCTCAGGATGAAACGAAAAAGATGACATATCAAAGTCGCGTCATCTGCCACACATACATAAACAAATGTCGTTTGAGGCAAATGAACTAAACGAACTTCTATAACACTATTTGAACAATTAAAGAATCAACTTGACTTCTTTTAAAATTAAGAGATCAAAATAGATCTCGAGATAAAATTAAAAAACTAAAATGAGTATTTTTTTTTAATTGACTAAGTTATATTTAATGAAATGAATTTTTATAAAAAATCTAAGACCAATTTTTTATGAAATAAACTAGGCCAAATCAATCCTTAAATAGATTACTTTCTAAGCCAATTTGGTATATTTTGTATGCCAATTTAATATATATTTTACTTATCAAAATTATTTAAATGTAAACCACTTATATGATTTGTTACACCTTATTACTACCTTACTAGGTCCTAACACAAACAATAACATTAACACAATCTCAAATTTTAAACATTTGTACTTTATATTAAATATTTATCACTTAAAAAGAAAATAACAATGCCCATGAGAAGTAGCAAACAAAAAATTATAAAATTTTGAAAAAAAGAGTTAGTTGAATTTCTTACATAAGAAAAGAGAAAAAAGAATGGAGAAGATAATTGAATAAAAATGAGAAAAAAAAGAGTAAAATAGTGAAAAGAAGAAAAGAGGAGAAATAATTCAAACTCAAAAGATCAATATTTATTCATTTCACTAAAAAAAATTTTCAAACTACAAAAAAAAATTTCGATTCATTTTTAACCTTTGAATGAATATCAATATTTTTGTTTTAAAAAAATACGAGAATGGCATTTAATGTAAATAAAGTGAATCCTAGTGTCATAATTCAACACACGAGTCTTTTAAATAAGACATTAATGCTCTGTTCCTAAATCTCTCGTCCTTTATTAATCCATTTTCTTTTTCACAACCAAAACAACAAAATCCTCAAACTCAAAATCAATGGCACCACCAAGCTTCTATTCACACCTCCTTCTCGTGATTTGCGCCGCCGTCTTGTTAACACTAACGATTTCACCGCCGACAGTACACGCCGGAGGAATCAACCTCGGAATGGAATGGGTTCGCCAAACCAAAACAACCTGCCAAGGCACCATCGCCGACTGCATGTTGCAACAAGGTGAAGAAGAGTTTCAGTTCGATAACGAGATCAACAGGCGTATTTTAGCAACAACGAAGTACATCAGCTATGGTGCGCTTCAGAGGAACACTGTACCATGCTCTCGCCGCGGCGCTTCTTACTATAACTGCCGTCCCGGCGCTCAGGCCAACCCTTACAGCCGTGGATGCAGCGCTATCACGAGGTGCCGGAGTTAATTAATTATTATTTTTCTTCAATTTTTGAAAAAATAATAATTAATATTAATTAAGTTTCGTTGTGAATTTTTATATACTTTAATATTGGATTTTAATCCATTTTATTTGTGGGTCACTGTTGTGAGTTTGTGACTCTTTTATGAAAATACTCTGTTATTATTTACGGTTGTTGATTATTGTTAATTATTGTTAATTATTGTTAATTATGTTATTATCAATTAATTGTTTAATTGAGGTTATTATTAATATTTAGGTTTTTCTGGTAAAAATATAAATATAAGATCAATATAAATTTTTATTTATTTATTTATTTATTTATTATTATTATTATGATTATGTAATTGCGCGTTGTGTACAGCTATGTATGCCAGCGTGTTGGTGAATGTGTGACTGTAATGTATTGTCGTTTTCATGATGTATGAAAAATAATAATTGAATTAATTTATAGTTTTGTGTATTGTTACCGTTTTTTTGTTATCTACTGAATTTTTTTATTTAATTTTTTATTTATGAAATCTAGAAGGTTTGATTTTCGAAATTGGATTTGAAATAGTTACTACCGTTACGTTAACTTGTTAAAAGTTTAAATGCTTTGCTTTATGTGTTGGCATAAGCATATAATGCTTTGCTTTCCATGCTTACATAAATAAAGCATATATAAAAGTGTTGGTGAGTAATAATTGAGTTAATTAAAACAGGCTTGGTTTTGAAGGATTGTGAATTCGATTAGTACTCAATGTTTTTTTTCTTAATTAAAAAGTTTGATTAAGTTAAATCAAATAGGTGGGAATGTGGGTCGATTTGGTTTAATTCAATATTCAATTCATATAAGACATGTTAATTTAAGTGAGATAAAATAAGAGAATTTTTTATTGTATTTTAGATATTTTTAATATTCCACGTGAATTTTCACATATGTTCTTTGATTTCGAAGATACATGTCTAGACGTACTTATTTTTGCATAAATATTAATATATTCTGACGATATATTTTCGGAACAATTTTAAACATTCAAAACATATCACTTAGTAACTATTTACATTTGAATTGTGCATGAGATGCATCTCAGGTAATATAACGGAGATACATCTCCGAAATGTATAGAATAAGTATTTTTTGCTATAAGTTGTGTATTTGTTTTCAGATAAAGTACGAAACACGATCTCAAATAAAAAAAATAGACGTACAAAATAATAAGAGATTAATACAAGATGTGTCAAACAATATATGTAGAAAATGTCGTGCAATCGAGATCCAAAATGTAATAAAACCGTAAAAATAAAATAGAGAATATAATACTACAACAAAATAATAACAAATTACTACTGTGTGTGCCTAACAACATCTCATCTACCTCTTATCTTTGCTCTGCCTCTTCGGTCATCAATTCCCCCGTCCTTCAGTGATGTTTCCAATACAACAGTGCCCCTTGTGCCTATGTCATGATGGCATCCAAGACTCGCCTGACTACCAACTCATCAGTGAAGATACCCTTGTCAATGTCTGCCGACGAATTTCCACTATGTAATGACACCTAAGCAAGACATCATAAATATGATCTAACTGAGCTTGCTCCTCCTTTAGTATCTTCTGATGAGTTGGTCTCGACGGATCTCCTGAAGTAGTCTGCACCATGCACAAATGTGACATCCTAAAGAACCATGTTATGTACCCTTCGACGTAACTCCATTCGTTCGGTGTTATGGTAGTCTGTGTCTCCTCCGGTACCACATGATTCTCATAATAAACAAACATCTCGTCTATCTGTCTACGAGACAAGGCAGAAGGAGCAGAGCCAATAGGGTGTCTAGGATGGTCTAGGTGTACCTGAACTGTCGCATGACGCGCTTGGGTAGATGAGGAGCAGTGATATGTAATCTGCAAATCAACCATTCAAAGTATAACACTATCTCCTCAAATGATATCGTCTGACGGTGATCCACATAGTTGTTGAAGTGCATGTCCACATCAACCAAACAATCAAGATAGACTATGAAAGGCTCGACCGTCTGGTTTCATCTAAGCGAGATAAAAGTAGAAGCACACAACATATCCACAATGTAATCATCCACACTCGCTCAGCCAGCTATGCGTGGAAAGTGCTGGAGGATCCAAGCCTGAAATGAAAATTAAAAAAAAACATTCAAGGATCAAGAATGATCGGCAATGGTTTCATAAGTATGAAATGAAAATGACAAAAAAACATTTAAGGATCAAGAAATATTACCACCAGTAGTGTCACGCTGCCTGTGACCTGCTTCGTCTTCCACCGACATCCATCTCTCAACTCCAAATAAAGGTAGGCTAGGTAAGCCGCCCCACCAGTTGTACTAATGGATCTGAGTGAGATCTAAGAAGTACCGGAGCTATGCAACTTCAGTATAAGTGGAACTCATGTCCACAAAAATTCAAGTGCCAACAAAAATAAAGTATGCCCTTAAAGCACGAGCCCTGTGTACCGCCACCTACCCATCATCACCATGAGCCTGTTGTGCCCTAAGGATCTCATCATCATAGATCTTTCTCAGGAACTCGAATTTAGCATGAGCACCCTTGGTCCTATCCACCTCCCTAATCGCCTTATTTGGATCAGCCCCCAGATGCTCTACCAACATCTCAACTGCCTCGTCTTTGGTCATCCTCCCATGATCGAGGATCTTCCCCTAATCGGAAGATGTAATTAACACGAGATATCGTCCAATGTGATAGACATCTTATCATGCAAGAGATGAAACGAAGAGGTCTCAAAGTGCCATATCTCCATGAATGCATTAAGCATCATGTGGTTGATCATAGTGTAACCAATCATGCATAGGTCCTTCAGGCCAGATAAGGAGAAAATCGTAATAAACCAATCTCATTCGGTTGAGGCAAGCCATCAATCTTCCTCTCATGGTTAAGAAACTTATGGGGATCATGCTCCTGAAATTATCCAGAAATAATCAATGTCATCCATTAAAATTAACGCATAAAAAAATAAAAAATTGTGTCCCAGATATGTCTGACAGTATGGTCTGGATACAGAGGAAGTAAAGACAAATCATATGGACCTCCTCCAACACCCTCTGACTCGGTATCGACAACAGCCTCATCCTTCAGAGGTGACACTAGATCAACAAGATCATCAAAAAGAGGTGACACTGGATCCGTAGGAGGTGGCGCTGGTGAGTCCTGACGCTTGTAGAAGAATAGGGGAAGTGACATGTTAGATGGTGAATCTTGTCTCCTAGAGGAAGAAGAAGAAGAAGAAGAAGAAGAAGAAGAAGAAGAAGAAGAAGAAGAAGAAGAAGAAGAAGGTGGAGTGACATGAGATGAAGTGGGTTGAGGTGAAGCACGAGCCCCAAAAGTAGACGACGTCCCAGAAGTTGACGACTCTACCTGACCTGATGTACCTGCTGCCTTCAGAACTTGTTGGCTCTGCTCCCACAAAATAGGTCAGTTTGGACAAACTCTGTTTTATTAATATTAAATGGCTAAATGATAAATTATCATTTTTTCCATAAAATTACTCAACATTTTTATCTACTTAAAAAAAAAAAAAGATAACTTATTTTTACTAACGTTTATCATCATAAAATAATAAATGATATCATCAACTAATAAAAAATATCATAAAATACTATAAATAAATTTAAGTTGCATGACATAAAATTGTATTAGTATCAAAATTATTACTAAAAAATGAAACATTCAAAATTAGTTAAAATTATAGTTAACTAAAATAGTAAATGTTAAAAACTTTAAAATTGTAACAACTAAGTTAATATTAATCAAAATTATTAAAATTATAATAATAAATATTTGATTAGTGGGTCAGTGAGTTTTTTTTGGATTTGTGTCCGATTTTACCGGAAACTCAATTTTTTAAATGTGTTTTTTTAGTTTTGAAACTCATATCCACCCAATTACCCGACCTAACCCACTATTCTGAATTTGACCGAGTTTTGTGGGTTGGCCCAACCCATGTAGACCCTAGTTAAATCTTTTGAGAGAGAATTTTGTTGCCTATTATGTTTCTTTCCGACTCAATGGTTAGTTTTTATAGTTACGCGTAGAGGATATTCGATTTATCCAAATATAAATTATAAGAATTTATCAAGGTTAAAACGGACTTTCCATTGACTAGGTTCAAACGCAATCTTACTTTCGCAACAATGTTAAATTTTTTCGAAAAAGCTTTAATACCGTTGCGGTCTTGTCTCATTTTTTTCCCGAGTTTTATTGTTATGGTCCTCCAATTTTAATATGATATCAATTTTAATAACTAAATATTAGGTATAGGCCAAGTTGCCGGCAGAGAATTTTATCACATATTATTATCTTTTTTCAAGTAAAATATTTATTTATTTCCTACTATCTTTTATACTATATTTTAGTGGTTGGTTGGTAATAATGATGGTTACCAAGTTCTTACTCGGTCCAAATTAATTGTGGTCCCCTTGCCAAATTGTGTTTGTATAATATTTAATTAAAAGGCCCACAAAAATTATACTATTTATGTATCTTTTTTTCTAAATGGGAAGCACGTAATGAAATTTCTTGTGTACTGTAATCTCAAGAGGTGTGATTCCATTGGTCGTAGTGATGGGACCCATGCTAAAGAATTGAAAATTTGAATGTGGAATGGAAAGTTGATAGTGATTTGGTAAAAATTTATCTACTTACCTAATGATTTTAACCTATCATTTGTGTTTGTTCATTAGCTTTTTTCATAGGTTGAATGAGTTTGGTCAGCAATTATTCTCATAACCTAACACATTTTGTTTAGGTTTGGAACTAGAAGTGTGATTTACTTTACTTTGTGATATTGTGACATTTGATTTATGACACTATTGAGATGTGAGTATGGGTTGGTGGGTGAGTTTGAATCTACAAGGCCTACTTTATAAGTGTTACTAGGCCATTCGAAAATGACATGTTGTTCAAATTTTGATATTTTCATATACGTGTTTATGGAATGCACCCTTCAAGTTGTGGGGAACCAATGCCAAAGTTGTCA